AGTGAATGACGAAGAAGGCGAATCAAGGAGGAAGAAAAAAGAGAGGAAAAGAATCATGAACAGCAATGAAGAGTGAAGGAGGGACAGAGGACAAAGGAGCCAGACAGGAGAGAGAAGACAGAGGTTCTGGTGCGTCCTCAAGGACTCTTGCTCCAATTTGGAAGAACGTTCCATGTGTCACTCCAATGGGTATGAGTTGCTTTCAGGCTACCATAGGCAGGCCAGCCAGAAAGCCACTGTCCCTTCACCTCTATCCTCCCAGGTCCAGATCACAGGCAGCAAGCATAGAGCGAGGACTGTCAGAACTGGAAAGGACCCCAAATGACATTCGGGGCTCTCAGTGAGGCCGCTGCTGCATTTTAGGAACTGGTTCTTTACCGGGGAGGATGGTCTTGAGTTCCATAGGACATTTATGGTCTCTGGCACCCCAGGGCCCTAGAGGGGAGCACCCTCTCACTTCCTCTCCCACAGCATTTCTTTCTTTCTATCTTTTTTTTTTTTAATATTTTATTGATTTTTTACTGTGAGGAAGGGAGAGAGATAGAGAGTTAGAAATATCGATGAGAGAGAAACATCAACCAGCTGCCTCCTGCACGCCCCCCACTGGGAATGTGCCCGCAACCAAGGTACATGCCCTTGACCGGAATCGAACCCGGGACCTTTCAGTCCGCAGGCTGACGCTCTATCCACTGAGCCAAACCAGTTTCGGCCCCACCGTATTTCTAACCCTTCTCCAAAGGTGTCCTGGCCCCTGTTGAGAGCCACTGTGGACGCTCCTCAGTGAAGAAAGAGCTAGGAGGGGACTGAACTGTGAAGACAGAGGTTTAATTGAGGTCACAGAAGACCTTGTACACAGGGATCTCAACCTCCATTTCCCCGTCTCTAAAAACCACAGGAACCACTTGACTGCTCCGTGTGGAGGGTTCTTTAAACGCTCCTCAAGGAGAGAGAATGAGAAAGGACTGGTGGGTGGAGAGTCGGGGAGTCGTTTCCCTCTAGAGACTGTCTCAGCTGGCGCACCCTTTGCTACGTGCCACTCAGCTGACTGTCAACCCAGTGACACGGATCCTTCTTGCCGGGATTATTCCGACAAGTGCAAAAATAGAGAGGCATGCAGGGCTGGCAGTGGCTCCCGCTGCAGAGAGGAGGGGCGATGTGCAGCCGCTAAATTTACCCACACACAGATGGCCTGGGACCCCACAGCTGATGGGCCTCTTGCCTGTTATGGCATTTTCCACCCTCTGGGCCACTCCTTAACCGCATCATGGCACCCAACACATTTAGAAATGACTTGACGGCCTTATGTCATTGCTGAAATAATAACTCCGTGACAAGAGTCTCCAGACCCTACTGTGCCCTGACCATACTACAGTAGGGTCCCCAGAGTTGGCGGAGTTATTGAGCCATAACAAAATTCGCCACTTTCTCTTCTCCCCCAGCAAGGTTACCTGGAGAAAGGCCTATGTGACGAAGGCCCTGGGGTAGTGAAAAGTTCCTTTTCTCTGGACACACCTCTGGGAACCAGGGTGTTGGGTGCTAGTGTGTCCCCTGGCGGAAGCAGGGATCTAGAGAGGGAGGGAGGGGCTTGGGGCTTGCGTTCTTCCGGTGATCCCCACCTCTGGCAGCCCTTCATTCTACTCTCATTTCCTCATCTCACTTCCCTCTCTTCCTACATGGCAGCCCTGGGAACCCTTACCCAGCCCTGCAGTTCAGACTTCAGGTGTAGGAGGGGATAGGGAGAGAATCTTCTCTCCTGTTAGCACATCAATCCATTTTGAAACTTCAGTCAAGTATCTGTCTGCTAGGGCAAAGAGAAAAGTAATGGCAGGCAGGGGTTTCCAACACCAACAATAACCCTGGGCTCACTGGATTTGCTCATATAAAATTTTCCACAGGAACGGAACTCAAAAAGCCACCTAGGCTTCCTTGATGATAAAGCTATTCCAATGCCAACTGGAAAAGTCCCCAAATTCTGACCCATTGGGAGGAGTCTACGAAGAGAGACTCCAGGGAATGAGGGCTCTGCCCAGGAGAAAGGGCTGTGGGGTAGAGGTATGGGTGCAGGGGACTCAGGGGCTGGAGGCAACCACTCTTCACCACTTTGCAAAAGTTTATTTTCACTGAACCATGAGCCATCACCTCTGTGCTCCGGGAGCCTCCCCGCTGGGCATGGAGGTGATGGAAGTGAACCCCCATCTTCCTGCAGGTCTTCCATCCCAAAGCCTCCAGTGACTACTGTCCTCTCCCCCGTCTTTCTCCCCATGCCCAGGCCCACTCCCAGGCTTCAGGTGGGCAGGAGGGGAGAGGGGAGTGGGCCCACCACTGGCAGATGGCTTTGCACTTACAGCTGTGGCAGTCTAACATCTGTCCTCTGCAGGCACAGGCCTGGTTGCTTGCTTTGACTGCATAACAAAGTAGCCAGAGATTAGGGTATGGGCTTGGCCGGGGGGAGGACTGAGAACTGACTTTCTCTATCTGGTCCTCTCTATCTGGTCCTCAGGAGAAGAGCCACTGGACTCCTTCCACAGGGACCTCAGTGGGGCCCAACCATTGAGGGACCTCTAACTTTATCTAAGCAACCTCACTATCTAGAAGCCCAGGCAGGACTAGGCAGGGCTAAGCCCCTGAACCACACTCGATGGCCTTATCGGCTCCTTCATCTTGACATCCTGTTATTTTTTTAAACTTTACTTTTATTGGTTTCAGAGAGGAAGGAAGAGGGAGAGATAGAAACATCAATGATGAAAGAGAATCATTGACCAACTGCCTTTTGCACGTCCCCGCCTATGGATCGAGCCCATAACCTGGGCATGTGCCCTGACCGGGTATCGAACCAAGACCACCACCTAATTCATAGGAGGATGCTCAACTATTGAGCCACGCCAGCCAGGCTGACCCTGTTATTTTTTAAGGCCAACCCCCCAGTCAGTTCTCCCATTCTGACTGATAAATTAGTGGATGTCCACGTGTGTCCCTGGACCTGGCTCATCAGCATTGCCTGGGAACTCGTTAGGACACCATGCTCTCAGGCCCCACCCAGATCTGTTGCATTAGGAATGCTGGGGGAGGCGCTCGGCAATCTGTTTTCACAAGCCTTGTGGGTGATTCTCCGCTAGCTCAAGTTGGAGGACAGGGTTATAGGACCCTTCTCTCTATCCTCCACTGGGCCCTTGTGCTGTGTGCAGCCCTTTCTTCATCTGGTACTGACAACCTGCCCTCCTCCCCACTCCCCCCAGATGGCTCGGCCTCCTTCACAGGCAGGATAATAGCATGTAATATATAGTCCGTCCACCTCCATCGCCTCATCTACCATTTTCAAACCCCGCTTCACTTCCCCGCTTCCTATGCAGCTGTCCTCCGTGGCACACGCATGCCCTTCACACTTCTGCTCCAACCTCACTCTCTGACTACCTCTTTGCACTCTTCTGTTCAGATTCTTCTTCCTCTGGCCTACTCAGAGCCTTGACATCACTTCTTTCTTCCCTTTCAAACTCATCCAGCTATCATGTCAATGGTCTCTTCAAGGACATGGTTCTCATATCATTATCTTTATTCCCCAACTTCCTCAAGTTCCAGATCTGCAGTTCCAGCAGCTTCTAGGACACTGCCACTGGATGCACAAGAAGCACCTCAAATTGCATAGTCCAAACTCAAAGACACCTTCTCCCTCCGCTTTTCTCGAACCACCACCACCACCACCACCACCTAGCTTATCATTCTGACTTTTGTCTGCACAGCCAACTTCTGCGATCTTATTGGTTTTACCATTCCAAGTCAACCACGGTAACGTTTTCTGGTTAAAAACTTAACATGCCATGGACTGCAAAGTTCTTGTGGGTCCAAGTAAAATGGATCCAATGGGAATTATCTCAAAAGCCAACATCTGCCATCCGTTCTGTGCCTAAATTCATTGGGCAGAGAATGCTTAGGGTTTCTCGTGCTCTGGACCTAATCTAGAGGGAAGTGCAGGCTGTGTGGATTGCTCACTACTTGCTCAAGATTAGGAGCTCCTAAGGGAAGGACTCAGCCCCCTTTGAGCTGAAAGAATAATAAATCAGATGAGAAGGCTTCCTCCCCTGCTCCAGGAGCAATCAGATTCCTATTTCTGGGTCACTTGCTCTAAGCTAAATGACCCTCTGGGGAGGGTTTACACGTTCATAGTCCTCAGAGACAACTACTACTTTGTTAGTGAAAGCAATGATGGATGTTTGGATCAGAAAGCAGAGGCAGAGTTAGGGTCAGGATCAAGGATCAAGGGTGATGGCCAGCATCAGGGGCAGGATTAGGGTCAGAACCTCATGTGACACAGCCTGCCACTGTTGTTAACTGAAGTATTATTTTTCCCTCAGTGTATTCATGGCCCAAATATCTGCCAGCGGATTAATCACTGGTTACTTTGAGCATCTCCAATCTGTCATTTCGTAAGTGGGTGATTTTGACCTAAGAAGTAGGTGTGGAGTCACTAGCCTCAGGACTAAAACAAGGGGGAGCAGAGTCAGCCAAGAAAGAGGGCGAGTCTGTGGGTATTTCTGATGCCGCCGCCCACAGAGGGTGATTACAATTTCTGCTGGGTACGGAGGGCTACAGGGTTTGAAGGAAGTTCATCAGTTCCAACAATCCCATTTTGGGAGGTGAGAAAACCTAAGCCCAGAAAGGTTTCGTGATATGCTTACAGTCACGGAGCTCCCTAGTAGCTGAGATGGGTCCAGACCCAGGATCCTAATTCTACGTCCAGTGTTCCTTCCATGCTGCCAGGATGTGGGGCTATTCTTCATCTCACACAGTCTTAGGCTTACCTCTCCACCTGTGTCTACAGCTGACTGTCAGCGAGTAACAGTAACAGGGGTGATGTGCACAGTGGGTCCTTCTCCATAAGAGAGGTCTCCCGAATGAGGACCAGCTGCTTGGACATCACTGCTTGGTCCAAGTGTCAAGCCCAGGACACAGCTTTGTACCCAGGGCCAGGACAAACCCACAAATGTTGAGGAAATACTACTCACGATTTGTCTCGCCTGCCGAGCCGTCTCGGGGGGCTTGCCTGTCTCCTTCGGGGGGACAGGGATTTCCCCCGGCTTCTCACTTGGGTTGGAGAGTGGGCACTTGCAGGTTTCAGGATCTGAAGGAGATATAAGGAGTTGGCATACTGGGTTTCTAACGGCCCCCATTCTTGAATCTGCCCCTAGCCCACTCATGATCACATGGTTTAGAAGGCCCTGAGCCGGGAGACTTCTAGGAGGAAGTCTGAGACACCGAGTTCCTCTCTCATCCTTCGAGAGCAAGAAGCAAAGGTGCCACTTCCCAGGGGGTATGATGCCCCCTTTACCGAGGCAGAGAGAGAGGAGCAGAGCCCAGTGCCTCAGCTTCCTGGGCTGTGTTTAGTTGCTCAGCAAGTTCCTCTCTGGTGCAGGCAAAGTCCCATCTACACTGCCCCAGAAATCAGCGTGTTCCTTTGACTCTCCACCCACACACACGCACAGAGTGGTTTCAATTTGCCAGGAATCTCCATTCCAGGTCCCACAGAGTGCCGATGACAAGTCCCCATGTGCTGAACATAACCGAGCCTGAATGTGGAAAACCCCTCCCCCTGTGGTCCTCAGTGCCTGCACAGGCTTCTCTCAGTGACTCCACAGGCGCTGGAGGGACAAGGACAGCAGGCATCATGTCACATGGGAAGTGACAAGGTAGAAGGAAGGAGGACTTATGAGTGAGTTTATATAAAGCCAGCAGAGCCTGTGCTCCTTTGTTTGCCATTGAGACACCAGGGCAGAATTTTTTTTGCCAAAGAGCTTTGCTGTTTATTAAGCAGAACAGAAATAATGTGACTCTTCCAAAGCTGGGGACCCATTCACTCATCCTGGTTTGCCCAGGAATTTCCTGGTTTTAAGAAAAAAATTTTTAAGTTGATGAGAGAGATAACTTGTTGTTCCACTTATTTATGCATTCATTGGTTGACTATTGCATGTGCCCTGATCGAGGATTGAACCCACAACTGTGGTGTTTAGGGACGACACTCCAAACAACTGGCGACCCTGCCAGGAAATGACTTTCCTGGTTTTAAGCACTGAAAATCCCATACCCTGGGGAAATCTTCAGTTTCAGGGAAACTGGGAAGATCAGCCACTCTATTACACAGGCAAAACAGAGCAAAACAAAACTAGAGTCTTAGTATAAAATGACTAACATTTTAGATTTGATTTCATAGGAAGAACTGCAGACCAAACTTTGCTGTAACTATAACATCTAAGTTAGCTTTAGCTCTCGTTTTTTAAGTAGTATATGCAATGAGAGACTTTAATTGTCCATGTCAAACAGCAAACGGCTTATCTTTTTTTGTTTTTTAAATAGGGTGGCTATCAAACAAGATAACCTCAAGAAAGTTTTTACCATCTCAGAAATGTGGGGAGGAGGCAAGAGGAATTGGGATGGAGGGGGCGGGGAGAGGGAGAGAGAGAGAGAGAGAGAGAGAGAGAGAGAGAGAGAGAGAGAGAGAGACAGAGAGAGAGAGTGAGAGAGAGAGAGAGAGAGAGGGATATCTTTCATCCCTCACTTGCCTTCCCAGCACCTACCTTCATTCTCATGTCCCTGGCATATTTCTCCAGCTCCTTCCTTATGTCAGCCCTCAACATCTTTGAGACGTTGAGGACCAGCTGCTTCCACTCAATGGGCTGGAAGCTATGAGGCTCATGGGGGACGTACAGCCCAATCTTGACCTTCTTGACCGTGTGCAGGTATTTCTTGTAGGAGTCTTCAAAGTCAAAGATAAGGTCACTCAGAGTTCGAAAGGTCAGCGGCTTGTCCATCAGCTCTGCCCTTCGGCTCATGCCCAGTGAGCCATAGTGGCCATTGCAATAAATCCCCAGCACGACATGATGAAAGTAGTTTCCTGAGAAGTAGGTTTTAAAGCTGATGGGGAATCGCTCAATGGAAGGCTGTCCGTTGGTTAAATATCTTAGATAAGTCCGAGTCAAGGAAGATAAAGGAGGCCTTGACAATTCACAGCGCCAGGATTCCCAGGAAGGGAAAAGGGTCATGGGTCAGTCCATCCCTCTGCCTCTGAGCAGGCCGACACCCAACCTTTCCAGACTAATCCTCTTTGAAAGGGTTCACAGATATCTTTGAGTACCTACTGTATGGTGTACCAGAACCAAATTAATGTGGGACAAAGAGGAAAAAACGTCCATCTTCTTTAGTAATTACATAAATGCAAAACAAAACAATAACAAGTACTTTCTCCTCTCTCGGTTTTCTACAGAGGGGGACAAGCTTTTAAAGGGTTTTATATGCATTTGGAAATCCCCAGATGTTCATTCTGGCTGGAATATGTGGAACCTTCCAAGAACTGAAGGTCTCTGCAATGTTTGGGGGAGAAATGACAACCAGAAGCAAGGCAAGGCCATGGGCAGGTGAAAGGGACAGACTGACTGATTAACTAATAGATGGCAGAGACAGAAGGTGTCAGAATGGTCATACGTGCAGTCCGTCTCTCCTCCCGATGACCCTGCCACAGAAATGACACAGCCTTGGGGACCACACAGAAAGCTGCCTGCAACCGCTGAACCCCAGGCCCTGCTCTGTCCCCAACCCACCTGGCATCGCAGCTCAGCTCTCTCCACACAATGGGCTGGTTTGGATGGAGTAACCCAGCCTCTTACTGTTATTACCTCAAGTTTGAGCTCAGGAACCTTATAAGGTGCAGCTCCAAGTAACTGCCCCACTGACACCACGTTGTGGACCAATGGACAAGAGGCACCACATCCTCAAGTCCTTCTCACAGTCTGTTGGACCGCCCAGGCCTGGCCATGGACAGCCGAAGACCCAGCCTTTATGGAGAGGGTTACTGGAATCTCATAAAGTCACTCCTCAGCTGAACATCTTTGGTGACTCCGGATTGTTCCTCAGCTACATAACAATCCAGGTGCTGAACGTGGCGGCCTGTGCACGGTAAAAGCTCAGGAAGTGGGGACAGTCCTCCACCCTCTAGGACTTGTCTTCACCATCTCTGGCCCCCTCTCCACTTTACTTTCCACACAGTGGCCAGAAGGATCTATTTAAGCCAGAAGTTGGAACATGTCACTCTCCTGCTCACGTTTTTAGTGTCTGCCATCCTCCCTGGAACTTGTGACAGAGCTCTTTGCACAAAGTGCTACCACAATTTGGTCCCTGCTAGTCATTCCTTTGTATAGTCTAATTTTTCCATCAACCTGGACTAGCACCCTGACCTACAGCAGACCTGTGAGTTTTGAAGGCTGCACCCTGAGATCATAATGAAGGCCCAGATCTGTGCCCACTGCCCTCAGCACATATATCCTGCACCCCATCCCCGAGCCCCTCCAGAATGCAAAGTCAAATATAACTGAAAAATGTAAAGCCTTTCAAGTGACTTTTACATTACCAAGCTATTATATAAGGCCAAAGTGATCTACGAAACTTTCTGAAACATGCCACTAAACACACTCTACATCATGTCCCTACTGTGGTCTAACTTGTTTTATGCCTTTACTCACACACCGGCCTTCCAGCATGAGGGATTCAAACCTGGTACAGATCTCTGGGGTCTCCTAAGAATCGTGATGACAAGGATGTTGTGGGCTCACACAGCTTGCACCCCTTGCAACAGCTTCACTATTAACCCCTCCCCATTCCCAGTGTGAAAGCTTCCCTGACCTTCCTCCGTCCGTCCGGGTAAGTATTTCCCCACCAACCCCCAGTAACGCCCAGAGCACTTGTTTACTCTTACAGCGTTCTGATTATTTGCTGTTTGTATATTGTGAGGGCAGGAGTTGTGTTGGGCATCCTGCTACCTCTCTTTGGCATAGCATTTCAGGCACACAAAGTGCTTGCACACAGAGTATTTGCACACAAAGTGCTTGCACACAGAGTGCTTGCACACAAAATGCTTGCACACAAGTGCTTGCACGCAAAGTACTTGCATGCAGAGTATCTGCTGAAAGAAGGCGCCTTAGATCAAGAGAATATGTTTCCTTACACGTAAAAGGACTGCTTAAAGAGTGGGAGGGCTCATCCAAATGTCCTTAAAAGACAGAAGCTGCGAGAACTCAGCCCACAGCCCTGAGGTTAGCAATGACCTCAATGTTATCATAGAAGGCTATTCTCTCAAAAATGACTTCTGCTTTCTCACTACTTCATCATGTGAGATAAACTGGCAGTCAGGGAGTGAGATCACATCCTTCTGAGGCCTCTTACATAAAATCTCTCTTGCTTTCTGGGGTGAGTTCTCTGGGGCTGGCTTAAGGGCATTCCTCAGTTGTTTAAGTCAGTTTAACAAACACTTACTGAGAGAGCACCTCCTGGCCAAACAGCCCTGGGCGGGGCTGTGGGGCCAACGCTGAAGAACTGCAGCCCTTCTCTGCAAGTCTGATGAAGACAGAGACTCAAAAGGGACCACGATATGGTCAGAATGGCGATTCCTCAAAAAAACAACTAGATGTAGACTTACCCTACGATCCAGCAATTCCACTTCTGGGTCTAGATCTAAAAGAATTAACAGCAGGGACTAGAATAGGTATTTGCACACCCCTGTTTACCGCAGCATCATTCACAATTGTCAAAAGGTAGAAACAACCCAAGTGTCCATGGACAGATGAACTGATAAACAAGTGGGGAATACCCATAAAATGGGATATTATTCAGCCTTAAAAAAGAAGGTAATTCTGACGGGGCTGAGTGTAGGTGGGTAAAGGGGAGGGGAAATGGGGAACATCTGTAATAGTGTCAACAATAAATTTTTAAAAAGAAGGTAATTCTGACACATGCTATGACATAGATGAACCTTAAGGACATTATGCTAAGTGAAATGAGCCAGTCACAAAAGGATAAATACTGTATAAATCCATTTTATGAGGCATCTGAAGTCAAATTCAGAGACAAAAAGTAGAGTGATGGTTGCCAGGGGCTGGAGAGGGGGCATGGGAAGTCAGTGTTTAATGGGTGTGCAGTTTCAGTTGGGGAGAGGAAGTTCTGGAGATGGCTGGTGGTGATGGCTACACCAAAATGTGAATGTTTGCAATGCCCCTAAACTGCACACTTAAAAGTATGGCAGTAGCCCAGTAACTCAGATGGCTGGAGCATCATCCCATACATTGGGGGGGTGGGGGGGGGTGTCTGGAGAGGAGAGGGGACGAGAGAGACCACGCCCCTGGAAAAGGTCCCACCATCCCACCTGCTGGGGATGTGCCTAACGTGCCTCTGCTAATGAACCACGTAAATAAACCATAGTACTTTACTACCATAACTAAGGCCTGCCAGGGTCAGCTAGGGCCCCAAAAGCGCTGCTGTTATTCAAAAAGCCACTTGGAACCGAAGGTCTATCACTCCAGCACGCATGTGAAAGGGTGCCCACGTGCTCGAGCAAGACGGAAACAGTGGCTCTGTGTGAACGAATCCTGAATTCTGGGCTTACGTGATGAGAGAAAACAGGAAGGACACAGGTTTTAAAGAGCCAAGGTGGTGAGGAGGAGTGGGGGGTGGAGTGGGGGAGGGATGAGGAGAGGAGAGTGTGTGGAGGCCCAGACAGATGACCCAAGTCCTGTCCTTCACCATGGCTGTGAGCAAAACAGGCCACAGGGATGCTGACACAAAGCAAAGAGCAAAGACAAAGATGCTGTAACTTTAACGACTCAGGGCTGTGTTTCTTGTCTGTGTCCAAGGGTCAAATTTCCCTGAGTTTGGCAGAGTGAGCCGAATTATTCCACCACCACACTCCCCCCTTCCCAACACACACTTTTCTGAAATGTGACACCAGGAAGAACAAAGGAAAACCAAGAGCATGTATGTGGTCCTTGGATTTGGACAGGCCCAGAGGCTCATCATAGGTCTAGCCCCACAATTCTAAGTGGTTGTGTGTGTTTTTTAATATATATACTGTTATTGGTTTCAGAGAGGAAGGGAGAGGGAAAGAAACATCAATGATGAGAGCAAATCATTGATCAGCTGCCTCCTGCATGCCCCACCCTAGGGATTGAGCCTGCAACCTGGGCAAGTGCCATGACCGGGGAATCAAATTGTGACTTCCTGGTTCATAGGTCGATGCTCAACCACTGAGCCACCCTGGCTAGGCCTAAAGTTTGTAGGTAATTCCTGTAACTTAAAGGCCTGAATTTATAAATCTGCACAGGGTCAAGACTACTGTGTGCATGACTGTTGTAAAGCAAGATGACCCAGGTGCACACACGTCCATCAGCAGGCGGTCTGAAGGGAACTAGTCCACCCAGCGAAGGGTCTGCGCTTGTGATCTCCCCCAGCAAATCCCCAACAATTGTTCACCCCTATTAAACTTGCAGGAGGCTCTGCCCAACAGCTTTACTGCCTCTTGCCACCGGGGAGTGGGGGCCCTGAGCCATCTGTTGCCACATCCACCCTGGTCCTGCACTCCTGCGGGGCTCCCCAGACGCCCCTTTCATCTCTGTGAGGAGCAAGGAGGAGGTCTGACAGGGGGTGGGGAGAGGCTTCTGAAAGGCTCAAGTTCCCACTTTTGAAATGTCAGCCCTGGGCACCCGTGGACCATCTTGTCCCGACCGATGCTGTCCAGGCTGCAGAGGGGTGGAAAGTCCCCTTTCCATAAAAATGCCCCACTGTTCCCTGTCTGATTCTCAGCCACCCATCCTTCCGCTCATTTCCGTATCTCCTTGCCAGTTTACCTTCTACCTCTGGAGTTGTCCTTGTCAGTGTCATTTATGGGCGTTTTGTGTCAACTTGACCGAAAAATCATGAGATTTCATCCTTGAGCTTTTTCTCTCCTCATTCCATGAACAGCACCTGCCACCCCTTAAACACACGGCTCCCCAAGTGGTATCTCCCGCGCTGAGCCCATCCTGAGCTCCACACTCCCGATACTCTACCCAGCATCCCACAGACTCCTCAAATCCAACATGTCCAAATCTGAACTCATCTCCCCATAAATGTAATCCTCCTGGTTAAGTCCTCCCCTTGGACTGTTGAAGGATTATCCCATCAACCAGTTTTCCATACCAGAAATGTGGAGTCGCCGCCTCTTTATCCTCCAACCCTTCACATTGGATCCGTCCACAAGTTGAGGACACCCCCAACGCCTTCCTCGCCTTCATGCTGTCTTAGTTCACATCTGTGCTGACGTATCTCACCTGTCTGACATTCTCGCCCCTTCAGCCCCTCCTGCACAGACTGTCGCTTAACTCAGAAACCTCTATTTGCTGATCCCTTCCTCATCGGTTTCTACACCTAGCAGGCCTTCAAGGCCTGCCAACTCTGTGTCCTTTATAACTCTTGAAACTGTCTCTCCAATCCATTCCCGTTGCCAGGACCATGGTCCAAGCACCATCATTTCCCTCGTGTAACAGCTCCTACCTGGCTCGGCAGATCCAGCCCGTCTTCTCATCCGCCCTTCAGCCTGACCTAAGGATTACCTCTCTGAAGCGAATACCTGATGATGTCACCGCTCTGCTCCAGAGCTTTCACCTGGGCTGCCCACTGCCTTTGTGCAAAAGGTCACACTTCTCGGCACGGAGCCCAAGGACCTAACTGGTCTGACTTGGGACCACCTCTCAAGCTCACGTCTTGCCATGTGCTTTTGGTCACAGGTCCTTCTAGCCATCACCCCAAAGGACTGGGGGTTTCTTTGCTCTTCTATTGGATGGTGTTCTACTGCCATCACCACTAGTACGTGAGTGCCATCACAGTTTTCTGGGCCATAGTCAGCTGAGGAGCCAGGAGTCTGGTGGAAAATGGAACAGAGGGTGTGAGAGAGACCAGACCTTTGTCTCAGCTCTATGTTCTGCAGTCAGGACACTATACCACTACACGATCTCTTCCACAAACCACTCTTAGAAATTTCCCTGGGGGTGGGTTTGGAGGACCCCATTTCCCCTTGAGTGCCTTTCCTGTTGCGATACCAGATGAATGCAAAAAAAGAAAGAAAGAAAAAAATATATATATATATGATGCACATACACTCTCTATAGTCCCTCCAAGTTAGAATTCTCCTTGTGACTAGCGAGGCCAGCCTAAGAGCTGGCCCTGATACAGGCTTTAGCTAACAGGTTACAGTGATGATGGTCCAAGAAGCCAAGCTCTGATTTGGTTCAACTCCAGATGGTGGACATTAAAGAGAAACGACAGGGGAGCTTAGTCCTCCAGAGAGACAATGGTCATCACCTCTGTGGATCTAGGACGTTAAAGGCACAGCAGCCCTACAGGGAGGCCACCATCCACCGATGGATTAAAATTAAGCAAACATAACTTAAAGGATACATGCCCAGGATGACAGCTTCAAGGCATTTAATAGGCAAGGACTCTCGAGTCATTTCTTTCGCTGTTTCCATTAACCTGTAGGATAGAGCACAGCAAAGGATCTCAGGACTTATTTAATAATGCAGTTGGTCTGTCTGTCGATCCGTCAGCATGCCCGTCCTCACGCTAGGCACCACGTAGGAATCCAGAGGGAAAAGGGAGGACTCACTTTGCAGGAGGGCACCAAAGCACATACGCACTTGGCAAAAATAAAAACCTAAATTCTCCACTCCTCTCTCCAAGAGCCAGTTCCTGGATGTTAGTAACCATATTCCATAGTGTCCTCCCATTGCCCCGGGACTAGGGGCATCCCATGGAGTAAGTAAAGGAGGCCACATGAAACACATTTCATAGGCATCCCCCACCCTCCGAACGAGTTAGTCTCCACCACTGAGCTTAGCTGTGAGAGTGGTCCAGACCCAAGCCCCACCTCCAACATCACCCTGGGTAATCCCCTCCCCCCCCGCATCTCCACCCCTTACAGACCAGGAAAGTGAGCACTGGGATACACCGATGGGGGGTGGGAGAGGGAGTTAGCAGCTCTCAGGTAGGAAAGAGGTCACCTGGCCCCCACAGATCATGCACCACTTACCCACTCAGTGGCCTCATTTTTCTAATTTCAAAGAACTGGGTCCCTGTATGATTGTATCTGTGTGAAGTATGTAAAGGGAAAGTAAGAGAAAACTCCAAAGTCCCAGGAATCCAACAGAGGAAGCTATGCATTGATTTCTCACTGAGATGAGCAAGTGAGGGCTTTCCAGCTGTCCAATAGCCAGAAGGTAGTCAACATTCTCTCACTATCCTGCCTGGAAATCTAACTTCTAATTTAGAGGCCAAAGCACCTTGGACCCTTAGATTAGCCATATTCAATCTGCTCTTTATTCTGGTTAGTTGAATACATGTCTTAATTCATCTACTAGACTAAAAGCTCTTTGAGAGTTGGGACCATTTGTTTATCATCTTTATATCAACCACAAAGCCTGGCATAAATCCAGTGAATGAGGAATAAGTGAATGAATGGGAAGACAGATGGATGGATAAATAGATGCATAGGGGGGTAGAAAGGTAGATGAATAGTTAGATGATGGATTAATGGATGGATGAATGGGTGAATGGATGAAAGAAATAAAGGAAGAAAGGATGAATAAAACTGATGAATGGAAGAGTGGATGAATGGTTGGATAGATAGAAGGGTAGGTGGGTGGGTGAATGGCTTCCTGGATAGATGGATGATAAAAGGTAGGAAGAATGGAATATATATGGATGAGTAGATGGATGGCAGTAGAGTTTCTCAGACTGAAGCAGAGCTTATTTTCCTTTCATGCCTGAACTGACACTTGACGTTGATTACTAAATGTGAGGTGACAACATTATCCACAGCCTGGGGTTTAGCTAGTCGCCCAGAAGGTCTCAGGGACTGGAGAGCCTGCACCAGGTCATTCTGAATGACAAAGATTCCCTAATGACATGCTCTCTTCTCTGAGACTAGATCTTACTTTTTCTGAGCCTGAAAAACATTGCTTTGTGCATTTCCCTATACTGCCTCAAACAAAATTCTACTTAAAAGGGGCATGTTGGGAAATTGCTAACGAAGCGTGCACTTGTAGCCTGGGCAGGGAGAGTATATGAGATTAGACGTGTGCTCCTAATGTGGTGGAGGCAGCTGCAGAGGGTGGTCCTGAGAAGGGCTGGGAGTCCTCCCTGCCACAGATGTGCTTGGCCACTCAGACACGAGCACACGGAACCACCACCTGAGGAACTCGTTATAAGCACATTCTGGGCTCAACCTCGGCAGATTCTGATTTCAGGCCTTGGTTTTTAACCCTAAATGCCATTCAGAGTCACCACATCCTGGAGAGTTCAATTAGAAATTCCAGGGAGATGGCCAAGGGCTGATTTTAATAAGGACACAGTTTGGAAATTACTGGCACGTACATAAGAATAATCAATAACAATATAGGCTTGCCTAGTTTTTGGAGAAATAATATACAAAAGCCTAGATGTAAAAGAAAAAAATCAATTCTCATTGACTTTTTTTTTTTACTCTACTAAAGATGCCATTCAAACGATGAGATTCTGGTATATTTAAAGTAGAATTCAAATGGCAAAAATGCAATGCATATGCCCAACTTTCCCTGTACGTACATCTAGTTTGTACATCTTGTACATAAAATGAGACAAACCTGTAGTAAAATAATGAAAAATTACCTGGCTATCTTTTCTCAATTCCTAAGAGTTTTCAGCTCCTGCAAGTGAGCTGGGGAGGAAATTCCTACAAACATTGCCTTCAGGGTGAGAGACTCACTGACGGAGTCTGGCCTCAGCAAAGTCAGGTGGCACCTCTTCCCAGAACGCAGTGCAAACTCAGCACTCCCTCTGGCCAGCACCCTGAGGCTGTCAGAAGGGAAAGCAGGATTTGTCTTTCCACATCACTATTGCCCACTGCACACATCTACAGTCAGAACTGGCCCCTAAAGGTCCCTGTACTCTAGCACTGGTCACGTTGTTCAGGGCAAAACAATAGGAAATCCCAAGGAACTAAGTGAAAGTCTGGACAGAAGCTAGAACAGAGACCACACTCTGCCTTCTTTGTGTGGTGGCTCCAATGGTCAGGTGACAGGGAGCACAGTCCAGCAGCCTGCCCGGCCTTCCGTTCAGTCAGTGACCTGAGGTAGTGACCATCATAATGCATCAGAGAAAAGAGCAAAAGCAGCTCCTTCGGGGCAACAATGAAAACCTGGCTGAGGGTGTGCTGCGGGGTTTAGCAGAGAATGCAAATTCTCCCCACCACGCTCATTCTCTTTCATCTCTGCTCGTGGTCCTGGTGACGCCCATGTCATTAGACAGGAGAAGGAGCCATTCCAATTTCCGTCACTTTCTGGAATGCTCTGTGAGGAAGTCGGTCACATCCAAAAAGGCTCAGCTCTTGGGGTCCAAGTCTACCCTGGTGGTAGGAGTTTATGCTTCTGGACCACACAAAGCTCTCTAGATGGGGTCCCAGTTTGGGGATCAACACACCACCAGATAGCCTTTCCTCTAACATTGCTCCAGGGTTCCACTGGGGAGATGCCACGTGGGGGAGTTCATATCCTGCAAAGTGGAAACTGAGAGGCTAATGGAGTAACCTGCCTACCCAAACAGCAGAACTGGTGGTGTTCCCATCTGGTAGTCTTCATCCCTTCCGGGAAGTCACAATAAATCCACAGGAAAGGGTCTTGCCGATAGCACAGAGAGCACGTGGCATACAGGCCAGTGCCCGTGAAATCCTTTCTGCTACATTCTAGGTCTTTGGGGAAGGAGGCCAGAGGCCAGAAGAGGCTTGGCATCCTGGACAATGTGGTGCGGGTCTATAGGGCGTCTGATGCTGGCTTAGCTCTGAGATGCTATTCACTCGCTTGGGTAAATGGCCAGTCCCTTTCACATAGGCCTCTGCCAGTCCAGCTTTGCTCTGACTCCTATCCCCCATAAAAACACCAGAGCAGCCAGCAGACCATTCGCCTCTGCCCCTTTGTCCTGACAATGTTGCTGCCTCCGACCTTCAGAACTGATCTAACCTGGCTGCAACCAACCTGAGAATCCTGGAGGTGGAAAAAAAAACACCAAAAAAAACCAGTCTGGCTGGTCTGAACCCAGCCTGGACCCCCAGGAACCCCAGCTCTTCTTCAAGCTCAGATGAGGGGAGAGCGCCCCTGGGCCAGAGCCCCATTCAGTCACAAGGAACGGAGTAAGGCTACCAGTCAGGGCCATCTGGGGTGGGCTCCAGTAGATTATGAGCAGTCAAGATGAAGGCAAAAAGTGAGAGGAAAGAAAAGGAACAGAAGACTAGGAGGGAAGAGGGAGAAAGACTGTAGAGGAAGAAAGAGGGAAAGATGACTGAGGAGGAGGAAGTGGAGAAAGAGGAGATGGAAGGCAGGGGGGCTCGAGGTGGCCCAACACTGTCTCACTGCCTTCTTGCCATCCTGGCCCACATCCTGCTTAAAAGGGCGGGGGAGTCTGATCAGTGTAATTACACCCTCTGTTATCACTCCTCCTAGACTCTCACAAAGGGGCCTCCCTCCATGCCCGGCCTCACCAACCTTAGAGAGCATTTGCTGACCAGCTGGAGACAGACAGGCCACCAAGCTTGCAATCACCACGCCCATCCCCTGGCTGTGTGTGCTCAGACCCTCATGGGAAGGATACTGTAGTGTCTTCATGTAGTTCTGGATTGCCTGGAGCCAGTCTGGGATCGTCATCGACAGCCTGTAGTTTGGAACCTGGGGTATTGAAGGCTGCAGAGAAGTAGAGAGAGATATTTTGGGGGCCCGGTGCTTGATGGCAGGCCCAGGACTGAGACCATTGGAGAACTGCTTCTGGGAGCAGATGGCCATCCTGCCATGGTCGCCTGTTTAAGTGGTACCTCCTGGACAAGGTTTCCCCACTCCAGTTGACCTCCTGCTGAAGTCCCCCCTCTCTGCATTCCTTCCACCCACACTCCACCGTGAGTCATAGTGACCCTCTACTCTCTATGGCCCTCTGTGTATTGTGAGTGTGAACACAGCCAGCCTTCCCTGGGAGCCTCAGCCACTCACTGAGGCCAAGGACCATGTCCTATAGCGCCCCCCAGGATGATCACAGCGGCGCTCCATTAACCCTCACATTTTTTACTGCGTGACCGAACCTTTTGCTGCATGGTTGGTGTGACCCATTCTATGTGCCCCACTCCAGGGCACCATTGAGTGCAAGATGAATGGTGCCCTGCAGAAATGCAACATGGCGCCTCGGCTGCCATTTCTCCTCAACACCACCCCCTGCAATGCCCACCTCCTCCCTCCCGTGAATCTAGACCAAGATGGATGAGGTAAGAGTCCCCTCTTGCCTTCACTCTTCCCAGGCAAGTGCAGCTCCTCTGACTCATGAGCCACCTCACCCTTTTCCCCTTAGGCCCCCCACAGCCACCTCCTGGTCAACATTCACCAAGTGTCTACAAGTCCTGCAGGGAAGGGTGCTAAGCCCTGCAGGGAGGAGAAAGGAGCAATGGCAGGCAAGGACGGGAGAGGGGGAGACAGGCGCCTCTTGTCTGGAATTTAGAGCTCAGACAGCACTCAGCACTGAGCAGGCTGCCAACAAGGCCGGGAGTGAGAACAAGCTGGGGCTTCCAATCCAATCACTCCTGGCAAGTGAGGGACGATTTTTGCTTTCTCTCCCCCTATATGTTTCTCAGTCTCTCATCCTGGGCCTCGCTGGTGGGGTAGGGCCATGGTGGCAGAGGCACTCGGCCCACGTGGGCCTGAGGCCCCTGCAGTGCGTTGTCAGGAAGGAGAGGAGGCTCCTGCAGGCCCATGTGCTTAGGAAGGAACCTCAGGACAGATTAGTTCCATCCTGGGAGAAAACAGGAAAGGGAGGCCCTGGGATTTAGGGCTTAGCTCACGGACAGTGAAGCTGATGGTCAACTGACTTGGGGACAGTGCTGGGCAGCCTGCTGGGCATCAGAGCTCTCCCCACTCCCTGGGTTCAGGCCCCGCAGTGAAGCTGGAGGGCATGCTGGCCCTGGGCCTGCGGAGGGTGGGAGGAGGAGGGAGAATGCAGAGGGTTGCTCATACTTCTACACCCTGGGCTGCATTTACTGATAATGCTACTTGACATTCTTTTCCTCTCTGCGCCTCTATTCTCTCTTGACTTTGAGACTTCCTACTTCACAGCAACTGCCCCTTTAACAGAAATGAAGCTAGTCACACTTCCTACTTCACAGCCAAGGTACTGTGTGTGTGTGTGAATGTAAGAGTGTGTGCACACACAAGCTGTTTTGTGAACTACATTTTGATTACAACATATCAACTCAAATCGAATTCTTGTGTTGGAGAGTCATTTTTTGGAGCAAATTGGAACATTTGCTCACATGCCCCCCTCCTTCCTCACACACACACACACACACACATACACACACACACACAGAGTCAAAAAATGAAGTGTAGCTGTGGCCTGTGTTGCTCAGTTGGTTGAGCACCATCCCATGCACTGAGAGATCGCTGGCTTGATTCCCGATCAGGGCACATGCCTGCTTTGTGGGCTCAATCCGCAATAGAGGGCATCCAGAAGGCAATCAATCAGTGTTTCTCTCTCATCGATGTTCCTCTCTCTCTCTCTCTCTCTCTCCCTTTCTCTCTCTTTGAAATCAATAAATATATATATATATATATATATATATATATATATATATATATTTTTTTTTTTTTTTTTTTTTTAAAGAAGAATACCTTTGTGTTTTCTGCCCTAATAAACACCAATAAGTATCTGGCTTGTCCTTATTTTTTTGTGTGAAGTAACATCTACCAAATCGGGAATTCTGTGTAAGAACGTGCCAGAAATTTTGCAGAGAAGCAGAGAGAGAATGGGAGATGCGCACAAACGTCTCTTTAGCACTTGTTATGTTCTCAGCTCTAGAGCAGGTACAAAGGGGGAGGGACACAGAGAGAAAGGGAGGCGGGATGACAGTTTATTAAGTCAGGAGCATGCTTCCGCACAGAAGAGGACCTTACCAAAAGACGGTAAGCACAGGGAAATGCCCCATAGAAGCCCGGGCCACCTAAGAAATCCCCAGAGGGACATCCATGGACCACAGCCCTGAGGTGGCCAGAGTGACTGCGTTCTGAGTCAGCCGGCCGTGGGGGCCAACCACCAAATTATTTCAACTCCAGCAAAGCCAACAGACCCCACAAGAGCCGGATGGTGGGGAGGGAGTCAGGCGGCAGCTGGTCCTCAGAATAGAAGCTCAGTGGCGCCCAAAGGTTTTTTAGAACAGCTATCTGGTTACCTCAACCCCTCCAGAGTGAGTGGCCACATTCCCCAAACCCCAGCTGAGGAGCAGAGCTGTGGCAGGAAGAGGGGCTAAGCCTGCTGAGGGGATGATGTCATCTGGCTACAACTCTGACATCTGGGAGAGCTGACTGAGACTCAGCTCCCGACCAGCCCCTCAGGCTGCCAATGCCTCCACAGAACCACGCACTATTTATTAACCAGGTGGGCTCCTTCAGTTGTGATGATGCGTCCAACACAACGAGGTTGGAGTCCCTGCTCTGTCACCTGCTGGCTGGGGACCCTGGTCAAGCTACATGACCTCTCTAAGTCTCTGTTACCTTCCCGATAAAATAGGAGAATATCGCCTACTCCAAATCTTCTGGGCTGGTTATGAGGATTCCATAACCTACGTATAAAATGTGCACCTTGGAGCTTGGCACTTGGTGCTTTCTAAGTGTTAGCTGCATTATTATAATATCATCTGAAGTGTGCCTTCAGGGTTTGACAATGGGGAAGCCTGAAATGCCTTCACTTTTCAGGAAAACAGAATCGGCAGCGCTTCAGTCCCTGGACACTCAGGAGCGTTACTGAGATGCCTTCTCACCCTAATGAAACCACCTACTTCCCTCTGGGACCATGAGTTAACCTCCTTAATTCATGAAGTGTTCACACAAAGGGATAAGAAAACTTTGGGGCCTCAAGGGAAAAAAAACAAAACAAAAAACTGGCCAGCTGGCATGACTCAGTGGTTGAATGTCAACCAAGAACTAGGAAATCACGGTTCGATTCCTGGTCAGGGCCCGGGTTGCAGGTCCAATCCCCAGTGTTGGGGGCGCAGGAGGCAGCAGATCAGTGATTCTCACTCATCATTGATGTATCTCTCTCTCCACCCTTCTCCTCCTCTCCCTTCCTCTCTGAAGTCAATAAAAATAATAAATAAATAAATAAATAAATCTGTCCTTTTTTTTTTTTTTTAAATGACCCCAAAAAGTGGAAGCAAATTAGGTGAATGAATAAACAAAATGGGGCATGCATGCATAATGGGATATTATTCAGCAATAAAAAAGAAAGGCCATTCTGGCACATGCTACAACAGGGATAAACCTTGAGGACCTCACGCTAAGTGAAATAAGCCAGTCACGAATATTGGTACAATTCCTCTATGAGTTCCTAGACCTGCCAAGGTCATAGAGACAGAAAGAAGAAGGGTGATTTGCCAGGGGCTAGGGTGGGAGGAAGGAAGAGGGAGTTTCTGTTTAAGGGGTTCAGAGTTCCAGCTGGGGAAGAAGAAAAGGCTTCGGAGGTGAAAGGTGATGTTACACGCACAACATCGCACAGAACCGAACACGTAAATGGTAAACTCTATGTTATGTATATTTTACTACAGTTTTTAAAGTGTCGTGAAAAAAAAACAATGCACACACACACACACAAAAAGAAATGCCAACAGTGGATAAAATATTTGAAAAAATAGTTCAAACTCACTAATAATGTAAGAAATGCGCATTAAAGCCAGTGCGGAATGTCACTGTCACCTCTCCACTTAGCAGGGATGCTCTGAAACGTGGACACTCAAGGCTGACGAGGATGCTCCCATACAGAGAGAGGATGGGAGTGTAAATGGGTACAACCTTTTACAAAAAGCCCAGGGAACCCTCCTTTTGTTTTCTCCATGACGGGGGACCAGAGGGTCTCTTCTCCTGTCATGTTCCTGCCCTATTTCACCTGAAATGCCAGCCTGGATTTCCCATGGCCCCTCCCCTCAAGCCTCCCCCCTCCTGCCACCTGCATCCAGCCCCCTCAGGCCACATCCGTGCTGATGGAGGCAGAATCTAGAGGGCACAAATCACAATGACCCTTTCCATACTGCGCCTGTGGTCAGGGATCCGGGAGTGGGAGGAGGAAGAGGGGTGGACAGGAAAATGGTTGCTCAAGAATAATGATGAAACAAACCACAGGCAAGGTTTTTATGGACAGACTCAATTTCACTCGATTCTTGCCAAATTCAGTGACCCGTCAGAAGAATGCAAGGAGCCCAGCCGGTAAATGGCTCAGTGGCTGAGCGTCAACCTATGAACCAGGAGGTCATGGTTCGATTCCCTCTTAGGGCACATGCCTGGGTTGTGGGCTCAGTCCCTGGCAGGGGGCGCACAGGAGGCAACCGATCAATGATTCTCTCTCATCATTGATGTTTCTACCTCCATTTTCCTCTCCCTTCTTCTCTGAAATTGACAAAAATATATATATTTAAAAAAAAAAAAAAAAGAATGCAAGGAGAAGGGATGTGAATGGACACAAGTGCATATCATCACCGTGGCATCACCACGTGGGAGGGAACCAGGAAGGCAGCTAGACCTCCAGGCACCAGGGATCTTTAACAAGAGAGAACAAGGACAGAGCAAAGCCTTTTGCTGCCCCTGCTCTGAAAAATACAGTTGGCAGACCCCAGACAGAAGAGTCTCCTGGAGGAGAGCAAGGAACATCGCTCATGAGCCCAAGATGGGCGCCAGACCCCTGCATCAGCAGCGGCCAGGAATCTGTTGGCGGTAGCCTGCCATGGAGGCTGAGCAGGGAAGACCGGTGGATGGTTCTGAATGCAGAACAAGGGAGGGAGGAGCTGCCCCAGGGAACCAGCAGGGGGCAGGAGTGGAGCCCTGGCTGCAGCCAAGTCTCACCTCACATCATTCACCTCTTCACTCAGGCAAAGCTGAGTCCTCTAAGTGTGAAATACTTTCCAATTTGGGATCAACGTGAGAATGAGACACAAGAGTGTGGGTTCTGCAAGAAACAGCCCAGCTGTTTGGGTTTTTTTCTGTGTCTGCTCCCTCCCTGCCCCTGGCTTCCCATCTCTATCATCCTCCACCTGGTTGGAGCTACTTTCTTGCACTATCCCTAAAAAACCCTGGCCTTCACCTGCACAATTGTAACTCCAGATTACAACCAGCAGAGGAGGGGTCTTCGATAGAAAATTCAGAAGATCTCAGAGCAGGTGAGCTCCTCCACACCCCAGGAAGGGGTACCTGGTCCTTCGGAGAGAACTGACCATGGCTGCGAACCGAATGCCCTGCAAAGGAAGTGGCATCCAGTCCCCCTCTTAGGCCTCTGACACCTTCCTCTGCCCACTTCTTTGCCAAATTTAATTGCCAAAAAAACCACAAATTCAATTGCCCAAAATCGTAACCTCTCTGAAACTCTTTAATCCTTCCACCACTTCCTCCTCTTACAAATTCCTCAGGAAAGCATTGATTTGGTTAAAGGAGCAAAGGACTTGCTGATTGGTGTTTCTCTCTCATCGATGTTTCTAACTCTCTATCCTCTCTCTTCCTCTCTGAAAAAAATCAATAAAACATATTTTTTTTTAAAAAAAGATAAAAGTACAATATGGCCACTCAGAAAGAGAGAGAGAGAGAGAGAGAGAGAGAGAGAGAGAGAGAGAGAGAGAGAGGGAGAGAGAAGGAGACCACTCTGTTGTTAAACCTCACCAGAGGATATTTTTTCCGTTGATTTTTAGAGAGTGGAAGAGAGAGGATTGGGGTGGGGGTGGGAGGAGATAGAGAGAAAAACATTGATTGGTTGCTTCCCATACACATAGATCAAACCCACAACCCTTCAGCGTACTGCCTGATTCTCTAACCACTGAACAACCCTGCCAGGGCAGGGACCACTCTTTTTTAAGAACACAGCATTCAGCCACAGTATTGGAGGTCTCTGGAAATAGCGATCTATGTTCTAAGCTGCTCAGACAACATTTGGAATATTGTGTTTCATATGTGCTTATTTTAGGGGACTGATTTCAAACTAGCCATTGTCGTAGAAAGAAGATGAAAAGAGTGAATTGATCTGGAAACTCTAACAAATAAGAAAAGGTGAGCCCTAGCTTGTTTAGCTCAGTGGATAGAGTGTCAGGACTGAAGGGGCAAGGGCACATGGCTGGGCCCAGGTTGCTGGCTCGATCCCCAGTAGGGGGCATGCAGGAGACAGCCAAGCCATGATTCTCTCTCATCATTGATGCTTCTATCTCTCTCTCCCTCTCCCTCCCTCTCTGAAATCAATAAAAATATACACTTAAAAAAAAAAAAAAAAGGTGAAAGGGAGCTACCTGCAGACAAAGGAGACAAAAGGAAGGTACAGAATGACCGATGTCACAGTTCTGAGGACTCGTAATTCCGTGCACCTCTGATGTCACACAGGCCAGCATCAGAACCTGGAGGCTCCTGGGTCATATAACATTATGGGATTTGAGTTGGAAAGAACTTTACTTGAAGTCTGGCCTACTCCCGTTGTATAGATGAGAAAACTGAGACCAGAGATTTTATAAGCTAGAGGTGGCACAGCGCGGGCTGGAATTCAGTCCCTTCCCCACTCTAAGAGCCCCGTCTAGTGACATTCTAGGAAGCTGTGAGTTGCAAAGGAAGTTGGCCCGTGCTCCTCCGGCTCAAAGGGCAACACAAGACTCAGTGGTAACACGTGGCGAAGGGGAGAGGAGGAGGACTTCTGTTCAGCCTCAGGAGAAATTTCCCCACCAATCTAATCTGGCCAGGCCCGGGACCAGCTGTCCTAGGAGGCAATGAACCCTTAGTTCTCAGGAGGTCTTCAGAACTCGGAAGGAAGTCTGGTCTCCACCAACACTAACATCCCCTGATCCCCACGGAGAAAGGGGGTCACCGCACACAAAACTGGGAGCAGGGTGAAGCCCCAGTTAGAAACAGGGTTGCTGCTGAGGACCCTGAATTAGAAAGGCAGCATGGGATGGCAGGAGCAGGCTTCTACTGCCTGTGGCCACCTCTCCTCCAGGCTTCTGAGCTCCCAGCTCGCCCTTCAGTAAAGAAGGCTCACTTAAGTAAGGACAAAGCCGGAACCACAAGCCAGGATCAGCGTTGTTCTCAGGCTCAAGGAGGACTCGACAAGGGTAATTACGGCTGACAGGACCCTCCTTGGGCACAGTGACGAGCTCCTTACCGGCAGAGTAATAAAACACGGTGACTGGCTGCAACAGGGAGCTTACTGGCTGGGCCACTTCTCCCAAGGGCGCACACAGCTTTCTGGCCAGCAGGGCTGGGATGCTCAGGTCACCAGCTGCTCCAGGCTGGAGACTCCACCAGATGGCCTTGCAGGTCTCAGGTCTGGCATTCCTAGACTCGCCCAGGAATCTTCTCAGCCATGCCAGGTCCCCAGGGTGCCCGGGAAACCATCTGCCATGCTACAGCCCTCCCAAGCTCTGGCAGCATGTCTCCCCCGGTTTGCATTTTATGTTTCACACAGCGACCACTGCACATCTCCCTCCCTCCGTCTTGCTAAGTGATCCTTGGCCACCAGACCCCATCAGCTCCCTGGCTTCTCTCCAAGGTAAAAGGAGTTCTAACTCCTGAGCCTCCTTCTTCTCAACCCAGTGAGACTAATTCATCATGTCCCCTTTAAGCCAGGGCCAAAACTTCTCTCTCTTTTTTTTTTTTCTTGGAGCCCAGATAAGCTGGGAAAAGAGACAGTGCACTGTTTTTGCAAGTTTCAGAGGTGAAAGTCACTGTCATTAAAAAAAAAAAAATTGGCAAAAAGTCTAGAAATGATTCACGCGGGGAAGTTTGACTGGTTGAGTCAAATTCATTCACAGCCTAATAAATCATTTGCAAGCAAGGGGAAGACTCCAAAAGGGAAAAGTGAGGTGGGATCCCTAGGGGACCTGTGCATTCTTGGCATCGCTGCTGCTACAGACAGCTCTTGCTGGAAGAGGATGGACATTGGGGTGAGTAAATAAATAATAGTTTGGATAGAGATTCAAAGGAACCTTGGCACAACAGACCATACAGTCCCAGGACAGCCAGCCACCCCCTCCCCCTCCCCATTTCTAAGGCTTCCAAGACAAACATCTCAATTAAGCAAACGGGTGGGGGGGGGGGGGAGGAAGACGGGAGAGGGGATGGGTGTTCGTAGCAGAACCAGGATCTTGGGTAGTGCCCCTGTGTGCCCTGTGCAGGCTGAAACGGTCCCCTCCCCGCCCACCCCACCCCCCTCCTCCTTGGGAGCCACTGACCTTTGCCAGGAAGGCGGCGTTCCTGATGGCGCCCACCATTTCTCCCCCTTTGGGGTGCACCTTGGCCACGTGCACCCACATGCGCTCCCAGGTGTGGCTGTCGATGGGGAAGCCGCTCTTGTTCACGTGGAAGAGCACCCCGCCGTCTTTGTCTTCCTCCTCGGAGCCCCCGCTGGTGGCGAGGCTCACGGGCCGAGCGTGGCTGCTCCGGGAGCGGGTGCCTTTGGCGCCTTTGGGGTGCGGGCAGCGGCGGGTGTCGGCCGCGGAGCCGGTCATGGTGGGGCCGGGCCGGGCCGGGCCGGGGCCGGGAGGGCGGGGCGGGGGTCGCGCGACGTCGGCGGCGGCGGCGGCGGGGGCGTGTGCGCGCGGGCGGGCGGGCGCGCGCGGGGATCAGCGCCCCGCGGGGGCCGCCGCCTCCATGCCCCGCGCCGCCTCCGGACGCGCCCGGGGGGAGCGGCGGCGGCGGGCGCTCCGCTCACGGGCCGAGCCTGCAATCGGCGGAGACACGGCACGCACCGCGGTGAGTGGACGGACGCCCCGAGAAACCGTGCCCAGCGGCGCGGGGGCCTCGTGGGGACGGTCCCCGCGTCCCTCCCGCCCCGCCGCCGCCCCGCGCGCTGACAGACCCTCCACAGCTGTGAATGCGAGCGTCCAGCTCTGCAATTACCTCAAAAGGCGACTGGGATGTTGGCACAGAGCTTCACGCACACCTAAACGCCGGGAGGGAGAGAAAGAGGCGTGGGGGGTGCGGGGTGGACCGGGGCAGCTCGTGCAGCGTCCGGGAGCAGGGGGGCCCGGCCCGGCTCCACGCGCCGCTGCGTCCCCAGATGTGGCCGAGCGCGGAGCCGGCCAGGCGCGCGCCCGCACGTGAGCGCCCGGGGTCGGCGCGAGGGCGCAGCAGCCGCTCGGGCTTGCAAAGGCAGCCGCGTTTCCTCCAGGAAGCCCTCCCGGAGCCCCCAGGCTCCAGGGGGGAATAGGTCCGCCGCCCCCGTTCCACGAGTTCCCCGGGGGGCCGGCTGCTGCAAGCGGGACGCGGGAAGGGCGCCGTTGCAGCTGCAGCACCTCTCACCTCCGGACGCTCGGCCTCATGGCTGCGGCGCCACTCCAGGCGGCGGGGGTGGCAGGGGCAGAGGATGCGGCTGCTGCTGGGCCTGGGGCTGGGGCTGGGGCTGAGGCTGGGGCTGCTGCGGCTGCGGCTGCGGCGGCCGGCCCCTCATTCCAAGTCCCATTCTCGAATGTTATTCTGTGACATATAACCGAGTCACCCGGGCAGCCGCCGATGTTCCGAATGCGTCCATTGGCCGCCGCAACAAAGAGGGGCGGGTCCCGGGCTCGGAACTCTACAACCCGGAGTTTCGCGACGCTCCCATTGGCTCCGAGGTTCCCGGGCTGGGGGGGTGGGAGAAGGGTAGGGGGGACGGAGGAGGGGGAGCTGCACGGCCACGCGAAATTACGATCGCTGTCGTGTCCTGTGGCTGGGGCGATTGTCCAAGAGACTGGAGACCGAGTTCCCCCAGGGCTCGGGCACTGCGATGGTTTGCAACTGTGGGAAGCAGAGGAGAAGTCACCTGAGAAGTGACCCAGAAGTTAGAGGAAGGCTCCTCATCCGAGCATCACTCCCTGAGGAAGGCTGGACACAGCCACCTGCCTCTGTCAGGGGGTTCAGGCAGGGGCTGTATACAGGAAGGTACAAAGCAAGCTCGCTCGCGCTCGCTCGCGCTCTCTCTCTCTCTCTCTCTCTCTCTCTCTCTCTCTCTCTCTCCAAATTATCCCAAACAAACAAGGGAACACAGTCATGTACTCTCTGACGTTAGTCATGATTTATCAAGTTCCTTTAAACCCAACCTGACATGTAACAGTAAAACCTAAATGGTCAGCAGCACCCTGCTCCTTCTGTCAGAACTATACAGTTAGAGGAGGGGCTGGAGAGACGCTTCAAGGTCAGGGTGAAGTGGGAGACTCCTCCACACTCCCCATGAGAACAATTTTTCCTTAAAGACTTCTTCCCTCCCCCCTCCCTTTCTTTAAAGAAAGAGAAGAGCCAGGTGAGATGGGGTGAGCACCAGACTACTGACCTGAGGGCTGGCTCTAAGTCCACATTTATCGCTTGGCTGAGCTGTGTGACCCAGGACAAGCCACTTGCCTGGTCTGGGTTTTAGCTCCTCTTTCTGAAAAGAGGAGAGCAAGCCAAGCCCTCACTCTCTCCCAGGTCTGTTCTGGCTCTGAGGTCCTGTGAGTCTCGGACTCTCTCGTGTGGGCACTGTCTCTAGTTTCCTTTCTCTTTCAACTCCACGCCAGCATGCCAGCTTTGAGAGGGTGAAGCAGTGGTGATAGCGATGCTGAGTTAACCTAGAATTAAGAATGCAGTCATCAGAGAGACACTGATGGCAGATCAGTTTCTGGAACTTCTCTTTCGTGGGAGGCGTGGTGAGGGGGCCGGTGCCAGCAGAGATCACTGGCTATAGCTGAGAGTCAGGACATGGGTGAGGAGCCCAGGACTCTGGCCCAGCCCTGCATTGCTGCAGACAAGAGCCCATGCCTAGGACTGTATGCATTCAACAATGAGAATAATAACTTAGGTCCCAGTAACACAAAAGAAACTGTTTGGCTCATTCCGGAAATTATCTGAATAATTCAAGTGGAAGAATCACACCTGAAAAATATCAGGAAATGGGAGGGAAAAAATTACCCTCTCACCATATCATTGGCTCTGTTTCCATTTCCTGATTAAAAGAAAACCTGCCTCGGCGAGCAATCTGTTTTCTCATCTCAAGCGTCCTTCCTCCCTTTTTTTTCTCAGCCATCTCTCAGATCTATCCCTTTCTCCCCTCTCCCCTGGAGTGTCAAGTCCAGAAGACTAGGATTTCAGGATGAAGACCCGTGTGCAGAGGATGAGGACTTGGCCTCACACTCCCTCAGGAGAAAACTGAGCTCTCGAAGCTCAAGTGATCCGACCCGTTGGTGAACATCGAAGAATGTCTGGCAAGCGTCCCCTTGCCTGGTATCCATTCCCAGTGTGGGCACTCAGGCCAAGTCCAAACAACTACAGTTACCCTGTTCAACCAAGGCCTGGATCCTGCTCTGCCTGAATCAAAATCCTAGGGACCAGCGAGGGGTTATCCGTCCGTCTTCCTGTCCCAGGCACATCAGGACTCCCTGATAGATCAATGAAAAGCTTTTGTTTTCATGTCCAATAGTCCAGCCGTCCATTCTCTTCTTCCCTGGGCGGTGGGATGCAGCGGGAGGCCACGTGACATAGGAAGAGAAGTGTGAGACTTAGCTACTTTTCCCAAAAGGTGGTAAGAAGGCTTCTAAAGTGGATTGAGCTGTCCCAGGGAGGGACTGGGCAGCGGAAGAGCCCTTTTGTTCAGAATCCTTTTTGCATTGGAGAGTCGTGCTAGTTGCGTGGACCAGCCAACTCTGTTCTTCGTTTCCTTGTGCATTTTGTATTACATAAGTCTCAAACGAACCCAGGCCTGGCAGGTTATGGGTTTTGAAAGCTTGGGTCATTAATAAGAGTGACTGTAGTGGGACACATCCAACTTGTGATTTGAATAAGGGACTATCCTCAGCCTCTCAGAGCAGAGTCACTTCCATTCGTTAGCTTAATGACTGGCCCAGCAGAGGTGTGAAGTGGGAAGGTTTGGAACAAATAAAAGCGGTTGAAACAGCATCTCATTTTTCAAGTGCCTGGTGCTGGGGTCTCTAAGGTAAATAAGACAAGATCCTCACCTGGTGATCATTTTTCTAGCTCCACTACTTGTTGATGTTAATAGCCTATTAATGAGGATATCGCAGCTTGTGTCCCTCCTCAGATCGGCCAGACCTTGCCTTTCTGCTGGCTCCGTAGCTGCCTCCGCAGCCAATTAAATCCATGCAGCTCAGCCGCTGGGAACTGACGAGACACTTGCCCAGCCAAATCCTTCTTGGCGGCTGCTGCTAACACAGCCAGGCTGGCCAGCCACGTCTGGAGTCTCTGACTCCTCCACTACTTCTGGACTCAGAGGAAATGCCATACTGCAGGATGTGGCTTCCAGGCAGCCATCAAAGAGACTAGATGATGCACCCGAGGAAATTCCCTGTGGCGAGCGTTTTGACCAATGAGAAACAAGAGCTGGGAGGGAGCTAGGCAGATGCATTCTCTTTCATTCCTCTATCCTATGGACAACCTCCCCGGGTATGTCCTGCAGAGCTTCTGAGACGCATCTACTGAGTAACCTGCCATGGCTCTTTGCAGCTGGTCCTGAAGAGTTGCCTGCGTGATAACATACCACCCTTTCATTGCTTCTCATCCTAGCCTGCTTCGTTTCCCCTTTCACTCTGTTGCCTTCTCAGTCTGATTTAACATTTGCTTCGGGTCTTATTTCCTAGGGAAAGTGAGGTCAGGCCATTGGTACCACCAGTGGTTCTAGGATGGATATGGGGAGTGCATTGCTTGTGTGTCTGAAATCAATAGAGATCCTTTTCCTGGTGATAAGAGAGATGGTAATAACGCTGATCTGCAGGAGCACCATAACTTTCAACTGAGCCGCATTGGGTGGAAAGCAAGACATTGGGAAGTCAAGTAGCTGTGGAACTCAATCTGTTTGGAAATAATGTTAATCATAAGGTACCAGAGATCTTGGAAACAGACAGTGACAGGTTCAGGGCAGTTAATTACCAACTCGTGGAATGCCTTGGAAGTCAGAGTGCCTCCATGGAAACTTTAAGGGAGAGCCTTATTTCCTGCAGCCATGGGATAAGGCTAAATATCAAGCCCAGGACTGGACCACAGGGTAGCAGAATTGCAAAGGATACTAAATGCATGCCTTCACAGGCTTCCATGGAAAATTCAGAGTGGGACCTGAGACCTGGAATAGGGATGTCTCAGAGGATGAGCATCTGGACCCTTCCAATCCTCTGAATGCTCCTGCTGAAAGAAGACCCTCTTCCCCACAGCTTGCTCTCCTCAAGATATGGCCCCACCACCAGTTTCCTTCACCAATATCCAGAGTCAAGTTGTAGCACAGCCCACATTGGGGGGAGAAAAGTCCTGCTCTATTCTTTCTTTTTTTTTTTTTTTTTAAAGCAAAAGGATAGTGGCTCCATATTCTAATACAGGATGCATATATAATGGGATGGGCAGTGATCTGTCTTTTCCATATATGGGTTTGCTTTAATCGTCCATTGGGCTTCAATAGCACCACCATCTAAGGGTTTACAGAATGTCTCATCCATTGACTTGTAACATCATACAGCTTTTCTGATTGGTAAAAAGATAGATTGTATTGGGCCTATTCTTATGTCTGTTCAGATTTCCTTGGCCTTGACTGCTCCACACAGTTCTACTTCCTAGTCCTTTCTCTTTGGTTGCTGTTGAATAGCCAGGCTAGCCAGTGGGTAAATATATTCTCTGGCTCCTCCTATTACTTCCAGACTTGGGTGAAATACCATACCATAGGATGTGAAACCTAGCTTCTGAATGGCCACCAAAGAGTCCCATCATGATTAACTCCTTATGGGGGAACCAATGAAAAGCATGAAATGGAAGGCTTATGAGGACACATTTCCTCACCTGCCCCATTGTTGTATTTCTCTGAGGCACAGTTTCTCCATATAACCTGTCAGTGGTCAAGTACCAAAATCTCCCAAGCAAACTACTTTGTCCCCTTGAGACCCAGTTAAAGCCGAGGCCAGAGTAGAAACCCAATCACCTTACATGGCTTCCCAGCTTTCCTGGCCTCACTTCTCTTTTTTCTCACTCATCCTGTTGTGAGTTAACACTCCTCAAATGAACCATCAGCAGGGAATCCTTGCTTTAGGCTCTGCTTTTAGGGAAGGAGTTCTCAAATTGCATATCACTTAGCTGATTCAGTAGATCTGGAGCAAAGCCTAAAAGTCCATATTTCTAACAAGCTCCCAATGATGCTGCTAGTTGAGGACCACACTTTGAAAGAAGCAAGTTATATGGGTTAAGACATAGTCTTAAGAAAAAAAATGTTGAAATGAGGAACCTTTGTAATAATATGAACAATAAAGATTGATTTAAAAAAGGAAAAGGAAAAGAAAAAAAATGTTGTAAAGTGTTTTAGGTGAGTTAATCATCTAACTGTGAAAAACAAAACTGAAAAAATTTAGTGGAAAATATGGGCAAATTACCCAAGATAGGGAAAGTTTATCAGGCCAGAATTCTTCATAATAAGCACCAAAGCTGACTCTTGTTATCAATAGAAAAAAAATTTATTAAAGGGATGCTGAGTAGCTTACAGAATTGTTGGAAGGACTAGAGAACCAGACTTGAGACTAAGCTTCCAAGGTCAACATGTA